TAGAGAGAGAGAGAGAGAGTGACAGACAGACAGACAGACAGACAGACAGACAGACAGACAGACAGACAGACAAAGAGATAGACAGACAGACAAAGAGACACACAGAAAGACAGACAGACAAGTAGACAGGCAAACAGACAGACAGATCGATAGACAGATAAATCATAAAGAGAGCATCTCGAGTACCGATGATAGTAACTCTTTCAATTGTTACAGTGGAATACATTTTATGTTGTTTCTGACCGTATGAATTCGTCAGCACATCGTACCCCACCCCCTTAAATTATCATTTTTTAAGAGTTAACTTCTCAATCTTTCCTTTGATCATATGTAACCCTTGATTTCTCTTCTGCTTTCCCTATACTGTTTATGGATTAGTCATCAACCTATTCTGAAAATGTTCTTTATAAAAAAAAGCAACAAAAAAAGCAAAAAAAGCATAACAGCAACCCCCCCTCCCCCCCAAAAAAAAAACACACACAAAAAAACACACAAAACAATCCAACAAAACCCACACATTTATTCAAGAGACGACAAAAGCAACAATCGGATATAGGCAATCACAAATATTGAAGAACATTTTTATAAAATATGAAAAACATGAGTATACTATGCTGTCCTCATTTGAAATGTAATGAATCAAGTATGAAAGTTAGGTTAGGGGTCCTACTTCCAATATAGACAATTTAAGGAAGTGGTAAGCATAAAACGCATGAAAAAGTGAGATCCCTAAATTTATGTCTCTCCAATCATAATTGGGAAAATGATTCTCAAAGCGTTCAGAACAAGCAAAGTTGATACATGTAACTTCTTTTATTGGAGATCAACACAAAGTCAACGGATTCATTTTCGACCTCTTCTCCTTCCACACAGAAAAAAGCAAGGAAAAAGAAAAGCGAATACAAACAGACTAAAAGACAAAGAAGGAAAAAAAAACTCACCAAAAAGAAATATAAATAACTGATTTAAAAACAACACAAAACAACAACAACAACAACAACAACAACAAAAACAACAACAACAACAACAACAACAACAACAACAACAACAATAGCAGCAGCAGCAGCAGCAAATCGGAGTAGGAAATTGTTATTCAATTCAAATGATCAGATATTTACTTTAAATTTAGCCCTCTCCTCAGAGTAATAATATAAAAGAATAATAGATATTAGATTGACAGAACGGCGAAGTGGTTTGTTTTAATCCAAAAGTGTGACAATTCAGAAGCAATGTCAGCTGTTATATTCATGTGACAAAACATTATGCTTATATGCTATTGTTTACAAGGGTTACCATCAGAATACTTCACCTCTCAATTGATGTGGTGAAATTACAATTGAGACTCATCATTCTGGAAGTGTGAACGGCAATTTAAAAAAACACAAAAAACGCCCCCCCCCCCGAAAAAAAAGACAAAAATAATAAGAAGAAAAAGAAGTTTGTAAAAAATACAAAGGAAACTCACAAACAAAACAAAAAAGCAAACAAACAGACAGACATACAAACGGCAAAACATTATATGATTTAAAAAAATGTATTTTCTCTAAGCTCAGTCTGGTGTATGTTGTAGAGATGGACAGATAAACAGTAAACGTTGACCGCTTGAAAGATGAAAAGATTGACATATGTTTTCAAACAGATACCCGCTCTAATTATGCGGTTGTTCCTGCTGCTGCTGCTGCTGCTGCTGCTGCTGCTGCTGCTAATAATAATAATAATAATAATAATAATAATAATAATAATAATAATAATAATAATAATAATAATAATAATAAGAAGAAGAAGAAGAAGAAGAAGAAGAAGAAGAAAATTCAGTCTGAGTTTTCGAGTCCTCTGAAAAAGATGATGTCATCTCGATAACTGGGAATTCGCCTGAAGTTGATGGTGGTCTCGTTTGTTTTTCTTTTTATATGTATTACTTTGTTTATTGGACGACAACAACGTCTTCGTTTGCGATAATTCAGTAGAAAAAAATACGTACAGTTTAACTGAGCGAATAACTTGCTTACAAAATGTCAATAAAAACATATTTGACTCACCCGTCGGTGCTGAGAGAGTAGCTTGGCCAAATTCAATCATCGGCTCGCCAGAAGTTGCCCACAAAGCCACACAACCTTGACGCTTCAAGGTCACAGCCATAGCACCGTCAGGAGTCAAGCAAGTAGCCCAAGGTTCCGAACCCGACTCCACCGCAAAAGTGATCTTAGGGCTACCTTCTGCATTGTAGAGCACCATTTTGTTAGACAGCATATCTGTCACTATTGCCTCCCCAGAATTCAAAGGTTGAATGTCTGTTGCATCTTTGATGTTTTGACTGTCCTCGACATCCGCACTGTTTAGACTGTGAGTGGAAAAATGACGTTCCAGTTTGATATGTACAAGGCGACCTCGAAAACTGGGAATTCGCGTGAAGTTGATGGTGGTCTCGTCAAGCTCTGAAGGAGAAGAGACCAGTGAGTAGGTTGGCTCTTTAACTTTTATCGGGAGAGGTTTTGACACAGCTCGACTGTCGAGGTATACCGCATCCTCTCCAAAATTATCATCCTCCTCCTCTTCCCCATCGTCGTCTGTCTTCTTGTCTTCTTCAAGTATTGTGTCAACAGGTGTTGTACTTATATCCTCACGTTTGTTTTTCTTTTTATATATATTATCTTGTTTATTGGACGACAACAACGTCTTCGTTTGTGATAATTCTTTCTTTATTCTGTTCTGGTCGGTGTTCTCAGATAGACTCTCACTGCTGCTGTCAGTCTGAGTTTTCGAGTCCTGTGAAAAAGGTGATGTCATGTCTCCCGTCGATCTAGACAAGCCTCCTGACAAGTTAGGCATACTCGAAGAGGGTTTTACTACCTTAAACATTGAGCGAAGTTTGCCCCAGTATCTTGCCCCTCTCCGTTTACTGGCAGGGTCATATGACGCGTTTTTATTGTTTTCTCCTTGCGAACCATCCTGACAAACCGTGACAAGGGTATCCAGTGATGCGAAACAAACTTTGTTCTCCTTTTTGTTCTCCTCTTCCTCTGCGATCGCAAGACACGACTTAGCACGCGTTAGCTCTACATGAATTTTCGTACAGCCAGAATCTTTCGCTCTGCCACAGTCCTGTTCCTTGTTAAAGTGGGAAAATAGCGTCTCGCTATTCAGAACATTTTGACACGGATCATCTCCAGGTATGAAAACACAAGAAGAGCCAGTTTCCACACATGCATCGCCTGTATTTTCTTTCGCCCTAATATCAACGCTTCCATCTGTATCCTCAATCCGAACAACAGGTACATTGGCTGAGGAACATGGTATGCGGTGATCATCCTGTCCGATTTCGTCTGAACTGGGGCTGTGGTAGATAACAGGAGACTTGTTAGGTTCACTCGACCCCAATCCCAATGACCCAGTGGATTTTGTCAAACAGAGTGACTGAGACTTAGGGCAGGCTGGTCTGTCGTGACTCGGCGGAGATACCGACGTGTACCGTAAGGGTACGTTCTCACACACGGTCTGAAGGACTGGCTTCTTCTCATGTTTGACTGACATACTACACTGTTCTGCCACTCCTTTTGGCTCCTTCTCAACTAGCGAAGTGTGTACAGACTGATTTCTGTACTTACCTGTGAAAATGATAATAATGATGGCGATAATGATGATGATAATGATAATGACTACAATAATAGTAATAATAGTAATAATAATAATACTTACAGAATAAAAATAAAAATAATAATGAATGCGATACATAGAAACAATAGCCATAATACTACTACTACTACTACTACTACTATTACTACTACTACTACTACTACTACTACTACTACTACTACTACTACTACTACTAACAATAATAATAATTGTGGAATATAATATAAATTACAAAATATAATAACAGGAATGCAAGAAATGGAGAAATATGTTCACGCTTAAATGGATAAAAGAATGAAACAATGAAAGACAGGAACCCCTCCCCACCCCATCCCCCAAAATAACATTAATGCACATTTCTTTTCTTCTTTCCCTAACGATTTAAGCTGTCAAAATCTGCCCCCCCCCCTCCTCGGACACTATAATAATTAAAAGTACCACCCAACTGGTTCATAGCTTTATCGTGCACACTTTAGTTTTGTTGACCCGTTTTTACCCATCTCTATAGCTTTCTGGAAAAGATCAATGTCGTGTCACAATATGTACGATAAGCAGAGTATCTTGTTTAACGAGTTTGAATTTATTTTCTTAATAAGTGTCTACCAGCTGATATTATGTATTACTGTCTCCACAAGGGTTTCTTCAATGCCGTGAATGGGGTAATTGTGGAAGCAGTATTGAAACGTCCCTTTCAACACTACAAGGCTAATCAAGAGAGTGACCTCTGAACTAAACATCAGTCTTCGATATGATTGAGCGAAGTTGACAGAGAGCCTAAAAAACCAAAGCAACCGAAGTACAAGCACATCCCATTAGGGATTTGATTTAGGGTCAAATATATCATAGATCATCGTACCGTACTACCAACTCAGCTAAAGGCACGCCAAACATGAGCTTGTCAGTACAAGGACGAAGATTTTTAGAACTGCTCTAAATGTTCAATTGGAGAATATTCGTTTTATTCGTCATAAATGAAAATGGTATATGAAAGAGGGACCAACCTTAGACGCGATCTTAGAGACTTCTGTGGGCCAATATTAGCCTATAATATGAGAGTGGATCAAAATGTAACCAGACTGGTGGTTTTCCCCCGACAGTAACCGATTGTGCGAATGTTACCTAGCCAGCCAGCCTCGAGAGCCTATAACACCAAGCTTTCAGGTCATAAAGGAAGAGCAAGGCCACACAAAATGTGGATTGAGGGAGTCAAGGAAACCTTGAGAAATTTTAACTCCCCAATTAAAAGAGCTACAGAGCTGACCTACGATAGAAAAGTGCGCTTCCCTTCGACGCTAAACGGCAACAGAGGATGAAAAAGTAAAAATAGTAAGTACTCTAAGGTATCGAATAAGCGTTAGGTTTGTTCCTAAATGGAAAAAGTTGTCACAGTAACTTACTAAAATCCCAAATATTTCATGCTCTCTTCTTCGTTTATTCACTGAAGGAGAAATAAACCAGATTTGTTCCTACTGGTACATGGGTATGAGGTTGAATGTGCCAGCCCCCCC